CCTTGACTGATGGAAGACCCCACAGGCTGCCCACACGCTGGCTTCAAACGGCTGGCTCCTCGCCCCAGACCTTGTCTTCTGCCTTGGATCTGTCTTTCTTGATCCTTTCCGGCCTGAGCCACGCGGGGCCGAAAAAACGAGTCCAACCACTTGTGATACCCACACCCTGTGCTTCCAGTGTCTCACCTTCAAGGGTTGCTCACAATGGAGTGTTCGCCAACCCTCCATAGCCGAAAACCAAGATCCACAGGTGAGCAAATCCTTTTGTAGCCCAAGGCAAGGATCCTACCCATTTGAACCACCAAACGGGGAGTCCCTGAAAACTGGAAGCAGGTAGTATGGGCCCAAGCTTCCCTTCTTGTCCCATTGCTCCTCTCGGTGCTCACGAAAAGAAAAAACCAAAAACTGCCAGTCTACCAAGGTTTTTCAGACAAGAGCAAACTTTGTGTCAGCTTGACAGGATGGAAGGATTCAACTTGACACGGAGCCAGAACGTCGAGGAAAAGGCTGCTGGACTCTGATGGGCTCCCAGCCAATTGCAAGCAAGCAATCACCCTTTCCTTGGGAACGAGATTCAATGAAACCATTGACGAACAGTTGTACAAAAGAGCAAAACGATCTTTACAATAATCTTTCTTAACATACAAAAGAAGAGTGATCTTTACACGATCTTTTGTACAAAAGACAAGCAAACGAGCCAAGAGGAAACCGGAGACAAACAAAAGGGAAGGCTCATGCAGCTCACGCAGGCGCGCACTCCAAAGACCTTGTAGAATGCATCCAGTTTGACAACAGACGAGGTTGAAGCGGATGTTGACAGTATGAGACCTGGTCGCACCACCCAAGTTGGGCGGGTTCAAATCCTCCCAGGTACCACCGGGACCGCTCAAGCCGTCCCGTGGTGAACCTCAACACCGCGGTGCGGAAGAAAGGGTGAGATGTTTGAATGGCCATCCCTATCCTCGTGTCTGTAAATCCTGCACACGGATTGACAAAGTGCACAACACAACAAAAGAAGGATGGGTGACGTCACATACCGCTACCTCATGGACGAGTCTTAGTACACGGGAACGACGCGTCAAATTAGTCGGTACCTATGTTGCAAAGGGCTGCAACACCCTTTAGGTCCCAGCTCCAAACCAATTGGAGCAACTCTATGGCAAACCTGCATAGCCCACTTTAGGCTTTGGAACCCGTCAGATCAAGTCTCGGATGTTTTGCGCATAAATGCGTGGTTCGGCTCCGGTTTAGGAAAGTCCGTCAGTGAACAAAAAGCCGCTCGTGAGCTGAGAAAGCAGCAGAAACCCTCAAAAAGAAACGACACACCACGAAACATGACCCTCCTGGGAGTAATGAACATGGCTGGGGGGGGTTCCTCTTATTCGCAGGCCCAAGGACCCCACTTCCGCTGGTTTCACCTAGGGCTCCCAGCACCTTGTTGGAGGTCTTCTTCAGCTTCGCCACGAAGAACCCATCCTCTCATGGCTCGGCCCAAAAGGCCAAGGCGGGATTCGGATGCCAAGTTACTAGTTACCAATCACAAACTCCGTCTGTCTTTCGAGTTGGTATCCGTGTGGGTTTTTCAAACGGAAACCGAAAAGAAAGTGGTCTTCCACTGACAAAAGCAGTTCACCATTTCCTTCTGAAGCCAAGGGGAGAAGTAATCACCTAGAAGTGGAAGCCATCGATCCCTGAGACCCAAGTTGTCCAACCTATCAAAGGAGTCAAGGGCTAACGATCCAACCAATCCCGCACAACGCAAGCACCGGAGGTGTCTCGAGACCGGTTGACCATGTGTCAATGGTCGGAGGTCAAATTAGCGCCAATCAGCCCCAATGAGTCATTTCCGAGAGTGTTACTTTTGCACTCTTTCCTGGAGGGTCAAGAACAAAAACCTCAGCACCCCAAGCAAACGACTCTCGCTCCATGTTGTGCACGTGCGGGTAGTAGCGCCGTGTGAGGCTCAGCGAGGGGTGGAAGCGCCGCTCCCGGTACTTGGTGAGGCCCTCCACGCCGAAGTCTCGGCGCGTGCGCTGCGCTTTGGCCGCCGAAAATGCCCCGTGCAACGGATGAATCAATGGCTGTGGGTCACAACCGTTTTGGGATCCCATTTTGGGGGTAGGTGAATTCACCACCCATTTTAGAACCTATTTTAGTGGGGATTGGGATGTTCACTGGGGGTACGGGATTTTGACCCATGGCCAACTAATCATGCGGTGGTCTCCAAATGGGGGAAGCAGTCAAAAGGGCATGGAATGTGTTTCCTTTCAAACAATCCCTTTAAAGGGGCAACCTCCGGAAACATAGCCGCAATATCGATCAAAACCACTTGGACCTCCAAAAGGGTAATTTGTTTCTTGTTTTTTGTCGCGAATGATCCAACAAGGGCTCTAGTACTTTTGCGCTGCGCTTTGCAAAATCGCTGGCAGTCTCGATCACGCATTATATAAGGAGTCAACTACCCTTTGTGGCGCCTTGATTGAGCTGAGGGCTCCTTTGATTCGAATCATTGGAAGGGGAGCAAAAAATAAAATTTAGCAGTTAAGTCGGATTTTCCCACTAAACCACAATAAGCAAAATGTAAAATGTTTCCCAACAACAACCATGCACGGCCCCTTGGTCCGGCGCTCACGGCGCTGGTGAAGGAGACCAGCTCCACGTTCCGGGTCTTCAGCGCATGGTCCACAACGGCCTCCAACGTGCCATTTGGCTGTGGGTCAAAAATCGGGTAACCCCAAAAACGGAACCCTGGCAAGTAGAACCAAGGACTAAAACCTGCGGTCCCCTGGTGGTTTAATTTTGACCCATACCCATTTCTTTCCTGTTGAAAGGGAGGGCAACGGGTCCCCTTGCGGGACGCACTCATTCTTGTTTCCGTTTAACACATGGGCCCGAAGAGTGGCCTTCTTTCTTGCTAAGGCGCCATTTTTGGGGGCCAGAGCCTGACATGTACACTTTGACTGAGAGGTCTCCTCTGGCTTGGACACTCTTGGGTTGGTTCTTCCTTTTTGGGGGGGAAGGATTTTGTTGAAGTTTTTTACTGTTGCGCTGGTCAGCCTGCACACCTTTTCCAAGGAGCAAAAGGGCTGAGATTGGTCAGGCGTTACTCGGGCTTGGACAATGACTGTTGATTCGACGCAGAAACGCCCCACGCAGCGTCGTGTGATGGACTCTGTGACGCTTGGCTCGGCGGTGTGGCAAGGGTTTGGGGCTTGGTGAGGGGCACCGGAGCACCGATCAACGGTGATTGAAATGGGGTCTGTCTTTTTTCGAGGGTCACGCTTTCGGGGATTAAAGGAAATCACAAGGGAAACCACCATGGTCCCCCCAAAAAAAAGACAGACCCAGAATTGATTGAACTGGGCGCTGGTTGCCAAACCATCCAAATCAGACGCTTAAATTAAATGGAGGTTTGTCTCGGTTTGCATCGCGCCTGCAACTTCCAAAGTATTGCCTGAAAGAGAGAGAGAGAGAGAGAGAGAGACAGTGTCTGTTTGGAAAATGCAGGCATTGACCTCCAGCCCCCATCAATGCGAGTATGCGCCTTACACTCCTGGAGTTCATCGATTCAAACGACAGGACCGGGCCTCGTTCTCCTCCACAGAGACGGAACAGGTGGAGTACACGATGTAACCACCAGTCTTCGAGCCTGGCGGTCAGCAAAACTCAACTGGCTGAGTGGATGGCCCAAAAAAAGGTTCAAACTTTAAATTTACCACTAAAATGGTCTTTCCCAAGAAGTTTAAAGTTCATGAACTCAGGAAGTGGGAAAAGGCTCTTTGAAAGCGCATGGCAGCGAAATGATGTATGAGGCGTGGACTGGGAAAAAACAAGATTGGGACATGGCCGTGGGTCAAAACCGTTTTGGGATCCCATTTTGGGGGTAGGTGAATTCACCACCCATTTTAGAACCTATTTTAGTGGGGATTGGGATGTTCACTGGGGGTACGGGATTTTGACACATGTGCACAAGTTGGGATTCCCCCCCCACTCAGCGACCAAGTTGCCAACAAAAGAAACATCAGATCCTTGCTTTGAGTTGAAGCCACAAACTTCCTGCTGTCATGATTTCCAGTGGCGAGCAAAAGCACCTGCGTCCACCATGTCAATGGCTGCGGTAAGCAACTCCTTCTGCAAGCGGCTGTGCCCTTCAAAGTCCTGAACGGCACACGTGGGCGTCTCATGACTTCCGATTGGCTCGCGAATCGATCCCGAGCCAGCCAGCCTCTTTTTTGGCCGGACACAAACATTTCCAAACATCCTCACTGGCTTTCCAGTACATGGCAATGAGCCCCAAATGAAACAGCAACGGCCCGAAGGGCGGTCAATGAAACTCCAACCAGCTCGGAGCTTCGAGTTCTGAGCCTGGACGCTATCAAAGCCGCAACTTTGATCTGCCTAAATGGGCTTCTTTTTTTGGTGTTGGTACCCTTTGAGAGTGGCTTCAAAAAAAATCAAAAGGACCACCCGGCCATAGTGGGGTACACCTACTTCGAGACCAACCCACATCTCCACAACACCGGTTTCCTCTTTGAAACGATGCGGCCTGTGGCAAGCTCCACAACATGGTACAAGCTGCATCAGCCACTGACGGTCTTTGATGCCCTTGAGACGAGCGAAGACACATTTCGGGAGTCAACCAACCCATGTGTGACATGGTCAAACCGCCTTATGTGGGTCATGACCAATCCCGTAACAGGAACCTTCACATGGGTTGTCTAAAACCCTAAACGCCCCTAACTCCAAGCAAGTAAAGGGGTTCTTTTGACTATGGCACATGTCCGGTGCTTCATCAGCTCTCCTTCAGGCCACGCTTCACCTTCACCGAGGGATCCCGGGCGATGATGCCGGAACCTCTCAGCCAAAGCGTTGCCAAGTGCTGAGCGGCTATAACTTTGCATTGAAACACATTGAAACTCTTTGGTGGACATCACTTGACTTGGGGATTTATGACTTCTTATCAAGTTTGGGAGTCTTCCTGGAATTCATCGCCCCTTGGGTCTGCCTGCAGTGGGACGAAAGCTGATCCCTTGTTTAGCAAAAAACTTCCAAGGGGTTCGATGCGCTGGGATCTCAGGCGCAAAGACGTGAGCAACCGCACGCATTTCCTGGTGTTCATGTCCGCAGTCGAAACTCTGGTCATGCGGCACACTCCTCAAATACCTTAAACACCCTGACTTTGCAAAAGTACATCCATGTGGTCGTTCAACTTTGCTCGATCGAATCCAGTCACTTCTCGCCAGCCTGTGCAAGGCGCATCCAGCAGAACCTCTGGCAACTCTGGAGAGGCCGGCTCAACGCTGACAGGGAAACGTCACTTTCCAAAGAGGTGAATGCTCAAACCAACGAGCAACCCAGCTGAGAGCAGCATGATTGTATCACCACTCAGTACCATGTGATTGCTCAAAGGTCCAAAATTGATCCGTCGCGCCCAATGTGGTTCGGCAAGCGTTTGTGTTTTGAGCGCACTGCAAACGGCTCTTCGCACGCACACGAGTCGATGCTGATGCTCGGTAATTCCAAATATATGAACATGTACAGTAGATGGCACAATTCCCTTCATGTCAATAAGGGGACGGTAAACCAAGATAGAGGAACTCAATTCGGTAGCTCCACCAAACCAGCACCAGTGGGGCCCTGGCACGATCTAGCCGAGGCAGCATCTTGGACAGTTTCTTGCCGTCCAGGCATGTCCTCAGTTCGGAGCGAATCAGCAGTCAGGAGATGATTGGTCTTTGGTTTGCCAAAAGGTTCAAGGTGTTCACATTCCCGGGTGGTACATTGTGTGCTTCAAGCGGCAAGGACAACTGTGTCTTGGAACAAGTCGGCTTTGCGAGTCAACATGACATTGATGCGCGCCAAAGCTGGCAACTCCGTTGGTGAAGGCTGGATCTTGAAGGGCTGCCCCACAAAACGGAAGGAGTTGCACAGGCGACACATCAGGGCTCCGAACACCTCAAGCGCCAGGGTCCCGGGCACTACAACATTGGTCAAGCCCAGGCGGTGCACGTTGGCAACCAGCGACTGCCGATGCGGCAGTCGCAAAAAAATGCATGCGGATGCCGTTCAACTCAAAACAGCTCAAAAAACCGGACAACCAAGTATCATTGACCTAAACACAGGAGCATCATTCCTTTCCTGGACTTGCAATGTGTCGGTCTCCCGCAGAAAAAATCGAGCGGACCTGTCGAGTCGCCTCTTTCACGAGCTTGGGTGCATCTGACACCGGCTTGCGAACCAGCTCTGCAAACTGTAAATGCCAAATTAGAATCGACGGAAGGTGAGAAAACAAACAAGGGGAAGCGATTCACTTGTTTTAGAGTACTCACAAAAAGAAGCCATCAGGACAAGTTATTTGGTTTGCTATGGTTGCCACAATCAAACATGGACAAATGATCAATCCCATTTTTGCATGCTGCCATTGGCCTTGCCTTGCCTTACATCGGTCCCGCTTCATGTCGTTGGCAAACAAGGTGCCAGTGTTTCGCATCAGCTGTCCAATGTACCTTGGGGCGTTGCGCGGCTTCTGGGTGCTCAGTCTCCGGGTCTCATGCAAACACACGCTGATGGGCAAGCTGTTTGCTCTGCGAACAAGAAAAGCAACTCACAAACTCAGAGCATTTTTGCGAGCACTGCGGGGGGATGCGTCTGCTGGTGAACATCCACCTCAAATTGTCCTTCTTCGAAGCGCTTCGGCCCCCCCCAACCTGTCCCTTCAAGCAATCCCTGAGACAGCCCTAAATATGTTTCACCTTCTACATAGCTCGAGCCATGGCAAATGCCCAATCCCAAAAGGTGTGTCTTTGTTTGAGGGTCCCCATTTTTGTTGGTGGTTTCAAAGGAAACCAAAAAACACCAACACCCTCTGTTTTTTTTTGGGGGGGGTGGCCCTAAAAAAAGCCACACACCCCGTCACACCCCCCCCCCCCCCAAAAAAAAAAAAAAAGAAGAAAGAAACAAAGCCACCCATTGTTTGTGGGGGCGCCCTTAAAAAAAAGGCCACACCCAAAACAACACTCGATCAGTTTTCGCGAATCAGATCTTCCAGCTAAACTGATCCGAAGCGATTCCTTGAACCTCTCGCGTGAGCTCAGCAAGCACACGACCGAATCATCCCAAGCGAAATGAGCGTGTCCGTTTCTAGGGGACCCCCTTAGCACCCACAAAACAAAGAGGCCCTATTTCACCAAGAGACCGAATCATCATCCGAAGCGAAATGAGCGTGTCTTGAGTATCACTAGGACAAGAACCTTGCACATCTCACATGTAGGAGCTTCTCGAAACGGCGGGCGCATTTTAAAAGGGAAACCAAAAGGATCGAGACGGCAACTCTCTGAACGACTCCCAGAGAAATGGAGAGATGCCCCGCTTCCTTTGGACGCACGACCCTTGTGCTTTGCTTCGCTGGCTCCATGGCCAAGCTGCGTGGTCTTGCCGCCGGGCGCGGCCGCCATGTCCAAAACCACCTGCAAGGAGGGAAGCTTCAGCAGGGATCCGGATGCATACACCTGCACTTTGCAACTTGTAAAAGCTCGTTTCCATTTCTTTATTTTGGTGTGGAAAAAGCAACATGTATGGTGGTGTCCATTTCATTATTTTGGTGTTGAAAAAGCAACATGTTTCAAATGGGAAAGCAACATGGAGATCTTTTAAGGAGCCCTGTTCAGGGGCAAGGACCACTTGGGTGTGGCTCAAAATTAAACGATCGGAGGGGCAAACCGCGGGTTTTGGTCCATGTTTCCACTTACCAGGGTTCCAAATTTTGGAATTCCGGTTTTTGAGCCACAGCCACTTGGATCTGAAAGGGAAGCCAGGAACATGGAAACGATCCCAATGGAACACTCAGGTTCAGGGGGGCCTGATTGAGCTGACTGGGTAAGCATGTGCGAGTCCAAACCATTGCAGCAATCCATCCCGCTTAAGGTAGGACTCCTACCAAACTCATCTTTGGCGTGTCCATGCTTACAAGTAGCAAGAGCTTGAAGGGCCTCATGCTTGATTGTGACTGTCTGCACAGAGCCTTCGCCAGTTTTGCCCACGGCGATAAATATTCACATCTCTTGTGCCTGCGTTCATCAACGGTTTGTCGACGAAGACTTTGACAGGGTCTGAAGTGAACATGTGAGTCTCTGTCAAACAGCCTGCAATCATTGGATTCACCAAATTTCAATTCTAGTCCGACTTGGCAAACACAAGCCCGGGATTTGTGCAATTGCCCACGATTTTGACAGGGACTCAGGGCGGTCCTCTCAACCTTCCCGATGCCGTGGAAAAGCGACTCTCTCACGCAGCGTGAGAAGAGGGCTTCACAAAATGTGAGTCATAATCAAAACCCGGTATAAAATGGTCTATACCAACCTTCATCTACCCAGGTTTTGATTGTGGCTCATGTGAACCGCGAGGTCAATGAGCAATGCCCACACACTGCAAATCCTGCCAGGAGGAAGAGATATCCTGAGCTTTGCATGCGCAAGGCAATGGACTCCTCAAGCGCACACCACCAACCATTGAAAAGGCGTCGATATATGGGTTGTTTTTTTGTTTGAGGGACTCTTTGGTGGACGTGATTTAGCTAGGTGGAGATTCACGTCCACCAACCAGTTCCGAGGTGCTTCCCCATAAAAAGAAACAACATAAACAAAAATATAGCTATACATATATATATATATATACATATGGTAGGACCCCTCCAATGCGTATATATATATATATACATATATATCTATATATATATATATATTGTTGGCACATTCCTAAAGGGCTTCTCCCTGCAGAACTCCTATCAGCAAATGCGCAGGTTTGCAAACAAAGCGGCCAAAGTCCTGCTTGGCGAGAACATTTCCCCGCGCAGGTTCTCCTGCATCGCCTGAGCTCACGTTGAGCCCATTTTTTCTTCCGTGGAACAGAAGGCGATTGTGGTTCCTGCCTTGTCTTTCGTGACACGCAGTGGAACCAAAAGCAACAAGACCCCAAGAGGCCCATTTTGCTTCGGGCTCTCTCTGTCGCCTTCAAGCAATGAACCTAGGCCTGACATGCCGGGCACCTCAGGGGCAACAGATTCGGAATTTGGCAAGGGGCGCGAAGCCGCGTGCCCCAGAATCCTTCTGGTTTTTCATAGTTCTTTCAACTGTTACTATAAGTCCAACACCTGAATTAAGGGATCTTTACGCAAAGGACCTTTCTCATGGTGAGCTCGTTCGTGTTAGAGGTGACTTTGTTCATCCTACACTTTTTGGCCTATTTTGAATATACACACACACACACTAAAACACATGTTCAACCTTCAATACCAATCCCCCAACCAATCCAGCCTCAAAACACACATACTCTCATATCCATCTTTAATTCTTCCCCCATCTCAACATCATCCCTACACTCATTCAATAACAGTAATCAACACAAGCTACAATCTCACATCTCCTCAACAAATCTCACCCGACAAATCCAAGCAACATACCAACACATTTCCCCCGAATCACAACCCCGAAATCTCAATATGTTTTTCCTTGATCCAACTTGAGAACCTTACCCATTTTCAACAAATAAGAACAGTCTAAAAACAACCCTGTTCACCCGCAGAAAAGTGGTTAACCAATGGAAAAAGGAAATCCTAAGGGCTAATTGAACTCATGTCAACAATCCCATTAAAATACAGTTGGAACATCGGATGGCAAAATGTGGACGGGACCGGGCTTCATTAGATCGAGGTTCACCGTCATGGCTCATGTGTTGACGGCTACAAGTGCAACAAACGTAGGCAGCAGTTCCAACTGACAAGGGCGACCGCTCCAACTGATATGGGCGACAGTTGCCACTGACGCAGCAACAATCGCAACAGGCCAAAAAATATGTTACAACAGCCCCAGAATTCCGGTGAACAGCCCAAGAAATCCATTGCAACTGCCCTAGACTTCCGGAGCAACAGGCTTCAACGGGCGTAGCAATTGCCCTAGTATTCCACAGCAACTGCCCAAGACATTCCTGGTAAGGTAAGGTTCACCGCTTTCAGACCAAAATCAATTCGGTGCATCTGGCCGAGTCGAGTCGCCTTGCGGCAATCTGCAGGGGAGAGACCTTTCGAGAGCAGGTACGAGAGCTTGGTGACCTCAGCCAAAGTGATAGTTGGCTCTGGCTGCAATGGAACCAATCTGTCTGGTCTGCAGACTCTCCCTGCTTCTTGTTTCTCTCTTCTTTTTTATCGATCTCTCTCTCTCTCGCTCTCTCTTCCCGGAACTTTCTCTCTTCTTTTCATCCATCTCTCTCTCTCTCTCTCGCTCTCTCTCCCTGGAGCTCTGCTTGGGGAAAAGGCAGAAATGTAAACATGCCTGCCATCTTCTTCATACCAAGATGCCAGAGTCCCAAATAGAGAATCCAAGCAGAAACCCCTTGATTCGCGCGCTTCTGTTTGCCTTCAATCTACACACGCACACCATGCAATGCTCCAAGAACGGGAAGCTCTCATTGAACTGAGCTGACAAACCAACACAAGGCCTGTTCTCAATGAGCAGATCTCACCACAGATTGGGATGAAAAGTCAGGCCGCAATGTGCGTCTCTTTGATAGGACTTGCAAGCAAACAGGGGGAACAAAAAATAACCCAATCAATGGCGACCCAGGTCTTTGATACAAAACATGTAGTGAAACGCTGAAACACTTCCATACGCAAACAGAACCCTTCCAATTCGTTGGCATGCCGGTGTTCTTCTAAACGCAGGGTCTCAAGCTTTGAGTATACCTCGCGCTTTGAACAACTCCAGGTAGAGGCCTACGTCTGCCGAGCTCTCATGCTTGGCTCCGGGCGGTCGCCTCCGCCGTCATGTCGTAGCCGGGGATGACCTGGATGTTGCAACGCCCTGTTTGAATCCACCAACCACATGGATGGCAAAGGATCCCCATGGCACATGCTCGTAGCCCAAGTGGTGGTTCAAGGAGTTCCCATGCTTGTACAAAGTCATATCCCGCATGCAAGTTTAAACTAGCCTAGTCAGTGCAGCCAGAGTCAGGGGGTATGAAAGAAGTCAACGAGTCGTCTCCCAGAAAGGAGATTCCACTCTATTGGTTCCGTTTATCAGCTTCATCCCTTTGCATGGGGTCCAAGGGTGAAAAAGCAGGCTTCGGGGCCCGGTTGGTTCTGGAGCTACCTTCCCAATTCCATTCCGTGAAGTTGCTGGCTTCCTTTCGGTTTTCGTGAAGACACCCCGCCAAAACCGGTGGTCCATGCGTTTTTCCGGGTCCGCGGTTCACACCAGGCTGCCCCTCGCTCGGAGATGGCGCTGCCCACGGCATACTTCTCGAGCACAACGCCGCCGCGGCTGCACTGGGAGCAGGCGACCACCACGATGCCGGCATCTACCCTCAGTCAGTGTCCCAACTTGGCTTGGAAATCACCCATCGATCTGCTTGAAAATTAATTAGGCTTCACGTTGACCAAGAACCTGGGGTTCAAATTGTCAATCCACCGATCCCCTTTGTGCCAGAGAAAATGTGTCCCTCTGCTCTGCGGGCCAGGTGCAAATTTTGGAGAGCGCTTAGGAAGGAGTCCTTCCTCGCCGGCGCGTTGCCGCAGCCTAGCGAGGAGGTTAAGTTTAACTTTCAGCGGGTTAAATGGAAACTACCACTAAACACTAAAAGGCTAAACAGCTAAGGAACCGGATGGCTGGCTTCGCCACCAAGTCAAGAGATGCAACCCCGTTGTTTCAAGAGGCAAAAAGGCGAAGCCTCCGGTACAAAGCGGCCTGTGCTCAAAACGCAGGCCGAAACACCAAGGCGCCATAGAGGAGGAGGACGACGCCCTTCACCGTGCCAGAGCTGGCGACAGCGTCCTTGGCAAAGTTGGAGCCGTGAGCCCTCTGCTCATCGGTTGAAATTCATCTAGGTCCTCCAGTAGAGGCTAGAATATGGGTACCCTTTTCTCAGTAGTCTATTTTAGTAGGGGACTCCTGCCCCAAAAAGGGTAAAAGGGCTCTACTGGGGGACCTAGTTCATTCACAGGCGAGATTAAAACAGGGAGTCAGGAGCCCTCGGCTCAAGGTACCCTCCCACCAATACAATGAACATGGAAGCTGACGTTTCGGGGTCCTGCAAAACATTTTTTGCTTGAAGAGGGACTGTCAGGTTGCGGCTGTTCATTGGTGGGAGGGAACGTCGGACAATTGCCCAGGTTGGTAAGCGATTGATTTCCTTGCCATGCGCCAAAGCCAATCAACTTGATCTAGGCCGCGCTGATCGAGTTCGTGAACGTGCGCAAACGCCACAGGAAGCAAATGGTTGGGTCTTCACATGTTTCCCCTAAGCCCAACACGGGTCCCTATCTTTGGAAACACACCCTTCTATCCTTGGAAAAAGTACGCCGTGTGGAATCAGTTTGGTACTGTCAACTACGCTTACCTCCAAGAGGACATCGACACTTTTGGGGGGACCATCCATTTGTGTCCAATCAAGTCGAAAAGGACCATGCTGCCAGCCA